AATTTATTTTTTGCAGTACATGTGCCTTAATTACACATTTACGGGGCTATACACCGATTATCCGTGAACAGCCAGGCATTAATAAGCACAAAAAATAGGATATTGAGTGTATTACTGTGCAAAGTTTTGAGATTGGGGAAAAAAGGCTCTTTGATCAAATTAACCATTCCAGATTCAGCTGGGTAAGAGGTAGAAGCACTTGTTATTCCTCATACGGCCATGCACCATCTCATCCCACATAATTTTGATTAGGAATTGCTAACCTTTGTCGGTCATGGTAGCGTACACCATCAAACGTAATTAGCTTATTCATTGAATTACGAATCGCTAGCGTTAAGTCAACGCCATTTGCATCCGATACGTCCATTGATATTCATTCAAGCCAAACAGGGAAATTAACTGCTCCGCTGTCGCCATCAATCGAAAATCACAGCAATGAGTGGTTAGTGTAACTCAACGAAAGCAAATACCGAGAACGCATGGCCAGGCATTAGTTGGAATGTTAAACTGTTATCTGTGCGTGGCGAACGCCGATTTCGAATTTAAATGAAGGGCATTTTAGTTTGAATTTCGAATTTTCGGAGCATTTCAGGTTAACTAGTTGCTGGATTCTAAGGCTAAAATTCTGAGGATTCAATAAATTAATGTCTGCAATGCATGATATTGCTGTTAAATTTCTCTTTTGTCTGTAACTAAACATTGCCTCACAAATGGAGATTCTTAATAGCTTAATTCTGGGAACAGGGTTAGTATAATTTTACGCTGCTTGGTAACACTTAGCTATGACATTTCTGGATTTTACTGATATTGTGAATTGTTTTCTAAATACTCTTCTTAAAACTTCAGTGAACCTTCTCGTGGTGATCACCTCTCTAATACAATTAACTTTATGAAAATGTCTTATAGAATTCTATTAAGAAATCCGATGATGAACTTAATTAGAATTCTTTAAAATTATAGTCCTGTTTCTTACAAGCTAAGTCTGACATCTTTTACAGAATTCTGCAAAATTTAGATAAGCTTCTATAGATTAATTTATAGCGATTGTATAGAGATAAGGACCAATATTTATAGAGATCTGTACAGAATTCAGTAAAACTTTATCTAGTTTCTATAGTATGTAATCTTATATAATATGTAAGGAATGAACTAATAGAATTCTATTGAAAATATTATTAAAAAACTATCCCCATAATTCCAAAGAACTGTGTAATGTTCCTCGCTACTTTGTCTATGATAAATAGTCGAGGAACCTAAAGTTGCGAATTAATTCAAGTACTTATGTAGATTCGAGAAGGGTTAAAATACCATTTTACTCACTCAAATAAATCATACAGGCGGCCCCTTCTCGGGCTCACAGGAAGCCTCCACTCGGGCTTTTAAATCAGGATAAGAAAATAAGAAAATAATCTAGTACTAATTATAATATATAAGGTATTTCTCCCACTTTCCTAGCGTGCCTTCGTCGTGTAACGGTAGCACGCTGGGCCGGTATTCCAGAGGTCCGTGGTTCGATTCCCGGAGAAGGCGTTTGCTTATTTTTCAACTCTCCGTCTTCCAAAAATCCTAATGACTCTACAAATAGACTTAGCCGAAGCTAAACACAAACATCTAACGTAGCTGGCTCTTAATTTAAACCAACCGGCGATTATCAACAAACATGTAATACGGCCGAGCGTAAGAGCTTTAAGAGCGACATAGCCCCAAGGCAAAAACACCGCGCTACTAAGGATTCCTAGCACTCCTATCGAAGTTAGTTGAACCTTCCTTAAATGCTTCTTCTAACTCATTTGCGCTCAACGCGATTCTAAAATCTCATTCTGGTAGGGAGTTGTAAATGGGAAACAAGAATTGGAAAGAAAGGGTTTCAAAATTAAAAATAATATATAAAATTAACAGACACAACTGTAAAAATGTTTCTTTTGCTTTAATTCTCTACAAAAAATCCTATAAATCCTTTTGAGTATTTAAAAGTATTGTACAGTTACTATTGTACCTGGAAGCTGACGTTCTGCCTAATCTACTAAACAAATAGAGAGTTAACTCTACGTCTTAAACAACTCACACAATTTCGGAAGAAGGTTTAAATAACCTTCGTATTTTTTAGTTTTAAAATGGAATATAACGGCATGGGGAACGTGAACGAAGAACGCTATTTTTAATAAATAAAGGTAACAGACAAAATGTTAAAAAAAAAAAAAAAAAAAAAAAACGCCTCTTTGGACGTAATTTAAAATCTGAAACCTTTCAGATTTTGGTTTGCCCGACAAGTGACTTTCTTTATTTATCACTAAATGGCAGATTATTAAATTTCATAAAAATGACCTAAATGTATATAAGCGTGCCAGGAGCGGATAAGGTTATTCAGGCCAGCCCACGGGTAACTGATTTATCGTCATTTAAAACTTAAAAAATGCTTATAATTAAAAAAGTACATTTACCGATAATTAATTAATTGATTGTCGCAATTTGAAGGTAATTATAAAATAATAAATTTAAATAATAAAAAACTGATTAAAATATAAACAACATTTGCTTTCGATGACAATGGTAAACACGATCGCAAAGATCGATTTCGTTGGAAGCAGTTACAAAAATCAAAACTTACTCTTTTGAAACTGTCTTATCGCATATTTTGATTGACTTCTAAATTAATATACATTAAATATCAACTGTACGAACTATTTTATTTAAAGATGGCACTAAATGTTAATGCGATACATGTGATTTACCAGCGAAACAAAATTGAATATTTAAATTTTTAATTCAAATTTTAAAAAACTTATTTATAAATAAATTTGCAAATCTCAATCACGCATCGCATTTCAAAAATACAATATGCAATAAAATGTTGAATATAACGCGTAATAAAAGAATAAAACTGAGTCAAATATAGTAAACTATTTAAATATTTTTAAATTATCAATGTAAAAATTCGCAGAAAATTTATTAAAAAAGTCAACTATCATTTTTTGCAGAAAAATGTTCACTTGATTTGGCCAAATCATTAACTACATTGTTATTTTCTATTTGGTTTAATAAATTAATTTCACGTTTCATCAGCAAAAATGTTTCTAAATTTGAGTGTCAGTCGATTTTTCACATATTTTGTTTTTGAGAATGTCCTTGCACAATCTGCTTTAAATAGGGTAACATAAGCAAATATGTATAAGCCAAAAGAAGTATTGGATAGGCTTCTTGGTACATATTCTATTTATATATGGCAGCGTAGCAACACCGGCTTTTACATACAGTTACTTCATTCTCCCACTCGACAGTATTTCAAATGTTTTCACTTGATCCGTCGTCTTTTCCTTTTGGTAATTTTCTCTCTTCTTTCTGTATGCCTTAGTGGTGTAACGGTTAGCACACTCGGCGCGTACTCGAGAGGTCCAAGTTCGAGTCCCGGAGAGGGCAGTGCACATTTTTCATGTGTCCATCATCAAAAAACCGTAATGTCTCTACAGTGGCTCCCGAACTAAAAGTGGAGGGTGATGATATCGATTTGACGATCGTGATGATATTGATGGTATGCTTTGATGATTGGGTCTGATATGCTTTAATGATTGGGTCTGATATGCTTTGATGATTGGGTCTGATATGCTTTGATGATTGGGTCTCCTAATTCCCAGTCGCCCTTTAAAAGAGAAGTGTATAAAGTATTTTCTACCTACTTCCTGCACGTTTTCGTAGTGTAACGGAATACCCATCGCCGATTTTACCATGGACTTCATGATGCAGCTGAACCAAAACCGATAGAGAGAGAGAGATGGAAAGAAGAACAGGCTTGCGTAAACATAAGAGGAGGCAGCAAAATGTTTTAATTGTTTAGAGCCTCTAAACGTCTCGATCTAGATTTTATTATAGACCGTTAAAAACGATGAAACCCTCGCAGGAGATACGTGACGCCCACATTTAAAAAAAAGTAATTATGCTACCCAAAATGAACTAAAATTCTGAAAGGTCCCAAGTCCTTAAAAAAGCAGAACGGAAGGATGCTGCTCGATATATATATATATATATATCGATATAATATCTGTCGGACAAATGTGCCTGTCAGGTAAATGCACCACCGAACAAACGCGCCAGACCAATAAATTTATTTCCTCGATTAGAAAAATTATCAGCAAAAGTTACGTAATTACATCGAGTTCTAATCATTTTGATTTTAGTTGCGTTAAAATAAATAACTTCTTTTTTTTATATTAATCGCAGTCGTCATTGTTAAAATGATTAATGTTTTAATTTTTATTGTGATTCTTGCCACGATTAAAATATGTACGTTTGTAGCAGAGTGTAAAATAGCAAAATATACAATTAAAATTTCTTAAAAGCCTCTCTTTTTTTTAAAAAAATAATGCAGCTACCTGAAAATATCCTCGGACATATGTAGCTAGTATAATGTTGCTGTAAGATAAACATTAGGATGTGTATTTCAAAAGTTACCTCTTCAGAATTTATGATAGTTAGCAAAACTGGGTAACCTGTCTTTAGGATCGTGTTTGAATCCGAAAAGGGCATGATTGTTTTCAAATGTATACAGTCTTTGAGGTATAAGGGCACTTACAATCCATCGAACCGAAGGTTTTTTCGAATGGCTGACGGTAGATAAGAAGCGATAGGAGTTTCTTATACTAGTATTCGAGTGTGCTGTTTTCAGTCGGAAGCTCATTGGAGCTGAGTGCGTCCTTTTCTCATCTTTCGAGCCAAGCTCTCAAAGCCGTAGAAAGGGGCTTTGGGTCGCATTCATGATTAACAACGCAACTGCTTTATCTATATGCATATAGAATGTTTATATTATTCGTAATATATTTATAGTAATAGTAAAGTTTCTGAAATATGTATGTTATTCACGATCAAAAATGATTAATTTGTAAACATTCTGAAAATATTCTCAAAAATTATCTGTCTAACACTAACAATTCTAACAAAACAATTTATGAACCTGAATGCATGTGTTTTAATTCACACTGAAAGTTTTTTTTTTCTTTTCTTTTCAGGAAAAACTAGAGATCGTGGATAGTCCTGACAGCAAAAATGGTAAGACGCGTTCATTTCTTATGTGAAAAGGAACTGTGAAGTTCTGTAATTCATTTTTAGCAAATTGTATTTCTTTGCACTAGCATTAATACTGGCCTTTGCTGCCTTTATTTACACATACATACATATAAATGTCTAAAACGCAGTTTCTTCATTCTTTATACCATCCTTTTTCAAAATTCTACATTTAAGTTTGAGAAAGGTTTAACATGAAAACAAAGATTGTGTAATTCCAATTATTCAGTTACTATCATCTTAAAAATGCGTTCATAGAATTTATAACAAAGTGATTTGATAACACCTTATAAACCTTATGCCTAATAAACCTAATATGGCTAATAAACGGTTTTTCCGGCCGAATCGGCTGCTATCGTATTTACTCGTAAATGGATTGATGAAAACCTGACCGTAAAACCATATACTAATAGAAAAGGAGCAGTAGATGTTTTGAGAATACAGTACGCTAAGTACTAAATGAAAAGATTAGCGCAACATGCTGTTAATCATAATTTAAGAGTTTTAAAAGCATTATTATTATTTATTCTTTTCATGCTTTTAAAATTCTTAAGCATATATTAAATATATACAATGTTGTATGATCTTAAATTCTCTGAGTTCGAAAACAAGTTATTCTAATACTTGCGCAATAGCTGCAAAGTAAAATAATAATAATTTATTTACTAAAAAATTGATTATATATCTCTCCTAATATTAATTTTAGCTGAAGTATCTAAAAAGAGTGAACCCATAGGTGAAGTTTAATTCGAAAATTGTTTTTAAAGTAACTTGAATTAAATTGTTAAAAATGTTTTACGGGACTTGAAGTAAATCAGGAATAACAAAATGTAATCATGAAAAAAAAAAAAAGGTTTCGTCGTTTTTACTCAAGTAATAATGGTGATGCCAATGGCAAATTAAGTTAGGCCAAATATTTCCGTGAAGTAAAGGTATTCAGAACCAAAGTAGTGTACCAAAGAACTCATTCTTATTAAGCATTTTCGCGAATACAATTTTGAGTGAAAAGCAATTTATGCAGTAAAATTGATAAAATACGCGTGTGATTGTTCCCCGACATCCTCGTTTTTTATTTTTAATTCAAAACTATTTGTAAAAAATTGACATTGTAATCTTAATGGAATTATGAAATAGAACACAGAGTAACTGAAAAAAACATTAGAAAATTAAGAAATATAATGCAATCTCTGCAAAAACAAATCAAATAATAAAAATTGAAAATTAATGTATATATAATAAGAAAAGGAATGTGCATGAAGTTATAAAAGACAAGAAAAAGCATTAATTAACTTACGTTCTTTCTAGTGGGATGTGGGCAACAGACTTATTATCTGGGTTGGAAGCACTAGCAGATGTTGATAACACCAATATTTTGGTCTCATATATAAAAGATCTCCTTGTAAAAGTTGAGAAAATACATGAAGTGAAAATGCACTGGGTGAAAGCCCATATTGGTGTTATAAAGAACGAGAGGGCTGACATGCAGGCCAAAGAGGCTGCTGTGGGTCATGCCGAGGATGCGTTCTATATTCAATCATCGGAAAGAATTGTTATTGGTAAAATCAAAGTTTTCTATTATGATTTCTGGAAAGAGAAATGAAACATTTCGTGGAAAAGGAAAGAATATTTGTCTAAAATTATGAGAATGATATGTGAATTTGATAATCAATTACTGGACACGGATGCTTCCCGGTGCACCTGAAAAGATTGAATATGTTTCAAAATAATAGTCTTTGTTTAGTTTCGTAGTGCTGAAGGCAATGCACGACATTTCGTCGAAGACTGTGTATTATTGCGACATGTTGGGGAAAAACATGGTAACGTAAAGGAATTCTACTGCTGCAATAAAGAGTTTAGATTTGCAAAGGATTGGATGAACTTTACAATGGCAACAGAATACTGGGAATTTTGGCCTGATGGTTTTAATTGTATTTTGTTTTAATCTGTGTTTTAATCTTTTACCTGTACTTTTGTTTGTTTCTGTTGGGTGTGCTGCGTTCACCATGAGGCCGATTATTATCGTCCAGGGGGGTTGCAGCACACTCGTATATTACATTACATTACAAATAAAATAGAATGCGATTTGGTTAGCTTTTAATGCTAATTTGTATAATGAACTTGGTTCCTTATCCTAGGCTACTTCAATTAACCAATGCATGCTAATAGTTGAATTTTGTACCTTTTTCAGCATTATCACTAGTGGCATTATGACTCATTAAAATAGCGGCATATCATATTATGCTGCATAATAATATTTAAAGTTCAGAATATCTAATTTAAACAACTTTTAAGCACGAAACAGAGTCGTTTGCCGATACAGGAAGAACAAATTGAGAAAAACCATAAAGTCACAAATTTATAATCATTAGTATTCTAATTCAGTTTTCAAAAATAAACTAATTTAATAAACAGTGTCAGTTAAAAATTTATATCTGAAGCTAACTCTGTGTACCTTTTTGTTTGCGAACAACGCAAGACACACCTCCCCCCCCTCTTATTTTTCTGTTGATAAAAGTTTGAAGGTTTCTGTTACGCTTCTTAAATCTTTCTTCTAATTCAAAGGAAAAGATTTTCCGTTTTATATTCAACAAACAATTCATAAAATTCTTGTAGAAAGAAAAAAGTCAGGAGCAAAACTGAATAACTTCACGTAATTGTAAATAAGCACTGAAATTTTACTACTCCTTTAGAGTATCCAAAAATTACATTCAGCTGCCCGAAATGTCCCCATTACATCCCACGCAATATCTGCTTCGTCTTACTTTAAGTACACGGTTGAGGCATTTTCATTCTGAAAATCGAAGTCAACAGAAGCGTCCGATCCTCCTTTCGGAGTCGCAAACGACATTTTCAATCGTCAGCTCTAAAGAGGATTTTCCGGGCAGGATTAACGTTCGCTAATCACCGAAGAAACCCCCTTTCTCATTCAGATTGTGTTCCACATACCCCTTTATCCGCTCCCCGCTCTTAACCGCTTTCCTATAAACCGCGTAACTGCGCCGTCGTGAGGAGGGGCGAAGCAAGGGGCCATCGACAAGCAAAATTCGGAATTCTTCCAGGTCTTGTTAGAACTATGAATCAGTTAAGGAAATGTTTCACTTTAACAACGTACTAATGTACTATGTTGCTCGCAGATTATCTAAAACAGTGGTACCCAACCTTTGGCCTCTGGCGAGCACATTTTGGCCTATCGCGAACACATTTCCAAAACATCAACAATTTTGTTAAATATATTTCCAGTCTTATGTGATACATCTAAAATATTAATTTCGTCAAATGGATTTGAGATCAATAATAATATTGGCTGAACTTTGTGGAAATCAGAGAAGCGAAGTTCAAAATTTAGTGCATTTAGGTTTTCCGAGTATTTCTCTGTTTCCGTTGCCTTGTGGTTATTAATATGGCTTGATAAATTCTGAAAATGGATGAAATTGTTTTCTTCCATCTGATTTATCCACAAATTTAACTTTATCTGAAAAGCAGTTATAGTCCTAGTCAATTGAAAAAGAGTTTTACAGTAGACTGGGACTTCGTTCAATTTGTTCAGTTTAGCTGTTATATCCGTGAGAAAAAATAGATTGGATAACCAATTATTATCCTCCAGTTCTTTATAACTTTTGTTTCCAGATTCCAAAAACTGCTTTGTTGGCGAAGGAAGTTCTACAAATCATTGAAGTACTTTTCCCTGCTGAGCCACTAACATCGGAATGAGCATAAGGTCTAATTCGCTATCATCAGTCAGCAATCAATTATTTTATAAAGTCTTGTAAGATATCTCTTATGATTATAAATGCTTACTATATTTTAACAATTAAGAAATATAAATGAATTTTTATTTTTAAAATATTTTTTGTTCATAGTACCTAAGCGAGCTGGCGAGCACAAGGTTGGGCACCGCTGATCTAAGAGATAAAGACTAATTCTTTGCCCAATTTTTTTTTTTTTTTCGTTCAAATGTTTTTAATGAAGTCTGAATCTTTTCCATTATATAGGACAATACAATGGTAGTATCGAAAATTTCCTTAAGAGAGATATATGCGCTAACTTGGTACTTCCAACGAATAAACGTACTTTCATCGTCCGCTCACTTTGGAAAAATTTTTATAAGTATAAAAAATATATGAAATAGAAGAAAAAGACGCTTTAAAATTAGATTATATATAATTTAAAATTAGATTATATATGCGATTATATAAAAGCTTTTTTTCGCATATGGGTTTGGAATAAAACTCTATCCATTCCGAGGACGATCCGACATAGATCCCTCTTCTTCAAGAACAAAAACATTTTTTCAGAAGTTTGGCTTTGACTGCATAAAAAAGAATTCCGTAGTTTAAAGGCGAGGTATTGTTGCTATTCTTGTTGTTATTGTCGTGCCTATGATGAAGCCTATTCAAATAGTTCCATGGGCGAAGATGACAGCTCTGGCAATCTGCAAAATATTATCATCATAGAAGTTCGGTCTTTTAAAGACAACCTCAGTTTTTAATAATTCAGCAAGAAGTCCAGCCATCATTTTCTTGATAATTTTTTATTCCATTTTTAACGGTATTCCTAATTAATTAAATTTATAGAGCTTAACTTGCTTAATCGATTATGCATTAAAAAAAGGAAAGAAATAAAAGTACACAAAAGCTGTCTCCTATAGATTGATTTAGTTTATTATGGTAAAGCACGCTAGGGCTATCTGCCTAAGGAGGCCTTCGTGGAGGATTTTCTAAAGGAAACTGGCATGTGTATACGTTACACATGGGGAAACCGCGAAAACACCCATTCAATCAGCGCGTTCACCTAGAATCGAATCCAGGTGGGAACTACCAATTTTTCCACTCGGTCGCTGGTGGGTGTCTCCTAAGGAAAGGACTTGCTAGAGGAATTTGGTTTATACTTACTTTGCAATAATAGAAGTCTACGAAAACGCCACTGTAGTCAGTTCATTAGCCAGGATGCCGGGATTCCAGCGTGGGTTAAACTACAAGGGTTCA